GGTACTGGAACTTCTCGACGTTGCACATTCAAATAACAAAGTTTTATGAAGATACAACATCGAGAAGTTTCAGGACCTTCCTGGCATTACATCCACAACAAAAGTAAGAGAATAAAGTTCACAAAAATTCATTCAAGTCAAAACAATGCGTGGAATATTGCAGAACTGGAGGATATAGTCAAGGGAGAGGAATTTGGCCGGTGGGCCTGGATATTTAGACCTACCCTGGAAAGCAATGATGTGAATTTGGAAAAGGAGGCGAGAAAGCCTTGCAAGGTCGCTCGGGGCATCCGTTCCCAGGCTGGGTTGTCGGTTGGCATTGCAAAAGAAAAACAGCAACATTCCTCCAATTTAGCAAGCTTCCTACGAAATCTCAGAAAGCTGGGGAAATCCACCCGTTTCTCTGGTGTCAACTGTCCTCGCATCTTGATCTCCCCATTTTCCCAACTAGCAATAAATAGCTCTGGACTGGCAACCTTTTGGCTTCATTTACTGTCATGGAGTGCATAGTGGTTTGAATGTTGGACTATGACTCTGGGGACCAGGATCCAATTCCCAGCTTTGGCCATGGCACCCATTGGTTGTCCTTGGGCAAGTCACACTTTCTCAGCCTCCTCAGGGGAAGGCAAGGACAAATCTCCTCTGAACAACTCTTGCCAAGAAAACCCTGTGATGGATTTACCGTGGGGTCGCCTTAAGTCAGAAATTAAGGCACTCAACACTCTGAATTTGTTGGATTCAGAGGAATGAGGGGAATAGTTTTTAAGACGTTACGGAGAGGGGAAGGGACAGAATTCCTTTGCCATGAGGAGCAGAAGAGGCAGAAAGGATTTCCCTGGTAATCTCTCTGATAAGGCTTGGCATGGTTTGGGAGCTGGACTCTGGAAACGCACTCCAGGCCATCGGGACGAAAAGGCCTGGCCGTGGGAATGCCAAGAACGGCTAAGAATGACTTCACTTTCCCTTAAGTTTTTGGGGGTTTTCCGGGCTGTGAGGCCGTGTTCTAGAAGAATGTATTCCTGACATTTCGCCTGCATCTGTAGTTGGCATCTTAGGAGAAAAGAAATCACTAAAGATGCAGGCAAAACGTCAGGAATACATTCTTCTAGAACATGGCCTCATAGCCCGAAAAACCCACAAAAACCTGCACATAACAAATATTTCTTTTTGTTTGCTCCACCTTCTTCCATCCTTCCTTTTCTATAACCCTTCCTTCCTTCCTGTTCTACCATCCTTCCTTACCTCCTTTCTTCCTTCCTATACTGTAATTCTTCTTTCTTTCCCTCCTTCCTATTCTATAATCTTTCCTTCCTTCCTATTCTATAATCCTTCCTTCCTATTCTATAATACTTCTTTCCTTCTTTCTTCCTTTCCTTCCTTCCTATTCTACCTTCCTTCCTTCCTTCCAATTCTATAATCTTTTGTTCCTTCCTATTCTACAATCTTCCTTTCCTTCCTTCCCTTGCTGTTCTATAACCCTTCCTTCCTTCCTTCCTTCC